TAGCAGACAGTATGTTTACCTGCCAGTTCTCACACAAACATGCACTTATTATTATTATAACATTATCAAACAGTGCTCTAGGCATTGCTATGGACTATCATTCCTCTAGCTTTTTATTTGCCACTCAACTTTTTAACAGGATGTATTTTGTCAGCTTTCTGGAAACCTTCTATATTTAACAGTATGCTGCAATATTCCTGCTAGGTCAAGAAGGTAGCATTGCACTTCAAGAAAAAAATGAACACTTTAGATGTATATTGGGCGATAGCAATGAGAATGAGCAGAAGTCTACAACACATGACCTTCAAAGAAAGACTGAGTGAATTGGTATTACTGACAGTAAAAAACGGAAGACTGAACAGAGTTGAATTAACAGCTTTCAAGTACATAAGAGGCTGCTTCAGAAAGAAAAAGAATGATCCGTTCTTTCTGTCCATGGTGAATAGGTAAAGAAATACTGAGCTAAAGCTGCAGCAAGAAGATTTGCTCTAAGTCCTAATGTGACACTGGCATACATAAGAAGCTAATTATCACCTGCTCTGTACTGGCTCAGCAATTCTAACCAAGTTCTTTGGGGTTTGCAGGCTGGTTCTGTGAAATACATTACTATAGCAGTTGGGTTTTTTAATTTCAATTTTAAAAGCTCTTTGACCTTTTAATTAAATTGTGGCCCTGTTTTATTAGGTGTCCTATAAGCACAAAAACAATCCCTGCCCTGAAGTGACAACTCAGAGAGTATTAAAAAACACTATCATTGATTTTTTGCTTTGTGGTAGCACTTAAAAATGCCAGGCATGGCTTCAACTCCTCTGTGTAAGACAGGGTGTACTTACCTGACCGTCACAACTATCCAAGGGTATTACCTTCTGCTCTGTAATGGTATAGAACAAGGTCTCTTCAGGTTCTCGAGCAACCATTGCTCATGATGTGGAGCAATGTAGTTGCAATAATTGGTGATCCTATTTTAGGCATTGTCTTCCATAAAGCTTTTAATTAATTAATTTGTCATTTTTCCTTTGGACAGCCCTGTGAAAAATAGATTGGTTACAACATATCCATGCAACAAGAATAAGTCTCCACTCTGTTGCCACTCAGAATGGAAAAGGTGCAAATTTTAAAACTACACAAAGCCACTCATAATTTAAGTAGCTTCTTAAGATGCTTCTTACCAATTCTTGACATCTATTTGGTTATATTTCAGCTAAGTGTTGAAGACCCACAGCGAAAATTGTTCATCTTTGTTTAAAGGGAGACAATTTAATCAGAATAAGTCTTTTATTTTTGTAAATAAGGAATTTTACTATATAGATGATTGAATGAGACTATCAAGTGCTTTGGCTAAGAAATTGAGTGAAGAGTAGTAATAAGTCATCATTGTTGAGGATGCTTCTTACCAATTCTTGACATCTATTTGGTTATATTTCAGCTAAGTGTTGAAGACCCACAGCGAAAATTGTTCATCTTTGTTTAAAGGGAGACAATTTAATCAGAAGAAGTCTTTTATTTTTGTAAATAAGGAATTTTATAGAGATGATTGAATGAGACTATCAAGTGCTTTGGCTAAGAAATTGAGTGAAGAGTAGTAATATCATCATTGTTGAGAGATTAAAAAAAATTGTCATCATGCTTTCCTATATAGATGATTGAATGAGACTATCAAGTGCTTTGGCTAAGAAATTGAGTGAAGAGTAGTAATAAGTCATCATTGTTGAGAGATTAAAAAAAATTGTCATCATCATGCTTTCCACTTATACAGCATCTCTCATTTAAGTCTTGAAGTGCTGAAAAAAATATTTGAGAAGTCCTGCAAGACAGATGAGTATTAAGAATCTCCCATAATATGGAGAAACCAAATATACTGTTAGCCTTGAAGAGAACTTGTAAAGACACACAAAAGTTCTTACTCATGTTCTGATCAGTGAGGAACACAAGATCCAGTAAGATCATTTTCGCTTATATTCTTGAACTCCCATTGTTCTGATTTTCCTTTCAGAAAGATGGTTGGTGTTCTCCTAATGTATGAAACTACGTGAAACGTATGACTGTCTTTCTATGCAACTTGGTGGAGAGGATTTGTGAGTGACCGAATTATAGCAATGATATGCAAAGGCTACACTTCAGAAATGTTTAATCTTTCAGGGAAATAACTGAATAATCTGCTGTAATTTCCTATCTAAGTGTAGGGAAATAGATGAATTTTTTTCCAAAGACAAAGAGATTTGTTAGGTAACACCATAAAACTATATTTACCATGAGGAGAAGAGCTAGTTCCATCAAGTTTGATATTAGAGAAGATAAAAAAGACTTTGGACTATGGAATAAAATTTCTTCCCCAAATATTACTCCCCGCTGCAGGTTGTTATTATCTAATACACTCCCAAATGAGTCATGCTCCAGAATAGTCAGTGTCTTGAGAGTAAGTTTTAAGACTCCTTTTGCAAGATATGGATGCATTTAAATTCTGCAGACCTTGAAATACATGGGTTATACTTACAATACATATACTATGCAAAAGATTGAGTGAGGAAATAATAGGCTTCCTGCTTCATTTATTCTGAGAAGGCAACTCATTTCAGCTGTAAATCTGTTCTTGTATGACTGATGTTTAAATTGACTAGTGCTAAAACAGAAATACGTGTCATCTACTCCTGGTATTAACTTAGTTTGATTTCAGAATGAGATGAATGCTTGATTTTTTTAGATTGTTAGCTGTAACAAACAAGTACTTAATGAACAAAAGAATGAAAAAAATCTGTGTTTCTAGATTTCAATTTTGTGCTTGTTTGACTGCAGTTTCTAAGAAAGTGCTGACTCGACTCTGAAGATTGTTATTTCGTCCTATAAGATGTCCATATTGATATAGAGGATTTTGTCATGGGCCTGCACAACAGGATAGAAGCTGTATTTATTCCATTTGCAGATAGCACAGCACTAAGAGGGACTACCAAGAAACTGGAGAAAAGATGAGAATTTGGAAAGATATTGACAAACTGCAGAGTGACTTGAAAAAGTGGGATGCATCTGAGTAAGGATGAGGAAAGGTTCTACTCTTACACAAGAAGAATCAGCTTAGCACAGGATAGATCTGGTTGTTAGTAACAGCTCTGCAGAAAAGGACCTGGCAGATCTAATAGGTCACATACTGAACGTAAGGCAACAGTTGCAAAAAAGGAAGATGCTCTAGTACAGTGTAAGACAGGAGCCTGCCTTGGAAGGCACATCAGCCTCTTTTTCTGATCTACTCAACATTCATTAGATCCAAGGTGGAGTACTGTATCAAATTTGAGCACAACTCTTCATGAAAGATGGACAAATTGAAGTCAGTCCAGTGAATAACAGTGAGGATAATGAGAAGTTTGAAAACATAGGCTCGGAGAAATGTTGAAAGAATTAGAGGGGAGGGGAGGGAAGGGGAGGGAAGGGGAGGAGAGGACACATAAAGGCTGCTGCAGAGAGGAAGGATATCATCTGCTCTCCATATCTCTTGTGAATATAACTGATAGGCTTGAATTACAGTCAGAGAGATGTAAACTAGGCATTGGGTAAAACTTTCCAGCACTGAAGTTATGAAGCACTGGAAATGGACTGCCTAACATTGTTACAAAGTTGCCTGTTTTGGAAGTTTTAAAGAGTTGGTTAGACTACATCCATCAGGAATGTCATACTCAGATCCTTCTCAGAGCTTGGGAGATGGAGTAGCACCTCTGTTGAGGCTGTTTTTGGTTCAGCATGGCATTGAACCTGAATGGTCCTATGGGCACTTTATAACAGTGATGGATGTATGTTATGGCCAATATTTTCAAATGTAGATATTTAATCTCAGGCATGTATGTAACAAGATTCTCAATCACCCAGATGCATGACTTAATTCTCTAAAGTTCTGCAGGTGCACAACTTGTTTTTAAGTTTTGCACATGCTATAGATGTAGAAGAACATAAATACCAACATGGCCTCATACTTCAGTTTCCTGTCTGACTGCACCAGATGCTCCAATGCAGATTCATGAAACCCTAAATTAGGCAGTGATAGGATAACCTGCAATAGATCTCCTTCTAATACCTGGTAGCAAAGATTGGCTTAAACTCTCAAGCGTGCAGTTTAGTGTTTCTTCCAGCTTGTGTATTAATAGCAATCATTTGAATTCCAGATGGTATTGTTATCTTTTTAAATGTTCAGTCATTTTTTATATCATTGTTTTTTGAATTGTAGCCATGGTCTCCGCAGTTAAATTGCATGTGGTGTGAAAAATAATTCTGTAATATCTTTTTAGAAGTGTCCAGAAGAACTGGTGGACAATTTTGCTGCTGCTGTTAACGTTGACATGTCTTAACAAAACATTCCAGCTGTCATGAAAATCTCTCAGGTGCAGAATGAATTTTCTGGAAACAAGCAGCCCCACCCCAGAACAGCCAGTAAGCCAGAGGCTACCATGTTTGTCTAAATTAACGCTGAATGAAAACCTGGGTCTCTTATATCCCAGGTGAGTTCCATAATTGCTCACAGTCCATTTAAAAAACAACAGCAGATGTTCCATAGTGCATTGCATATTCATTATGCTAGAGATGGCTTCTATACCTTGGCATTTGAGGAACTGTGTTGGATTATGTGAAATGAAGGTTTGGGTCTCTGCTGCAAGCCAGGAAACACAAGCTGAAAATGAATTTTCTGTTTGCTAGGTGAGCACCTGAGCATTCAAGATCTTAGCATTTCTAGATGGCTTACTCTGTTAAATGCTGCCCTCTTCTTCCTGTCAGAAGAATTACGAAACGCAAAGTCATGTAAGGAAAATACAAGTGTGGGTGTTTTTTTGCCTTTTGGAACAAAAATTTATTTTTTAAATCAGTAAATACAGTTGTTTTGCTTGTCAGTGATAGGAAATGGTACTTCAGACTGCAATCCAGATAATACCTCACACTCTGTTTTATGTTATGTTTCTGTACTGCTGTCCATTCCCTATTCCCATTTCTTTGTCTCTTTTTTTCTCTTCTCTAGCCTTTCCTTGTATGAACACGGAGAGCTACTATCTTCCATGCAAACTGTCAGCAAGCCCTGTCCTAAAAGCTTGAGTTGACCAATGTCAGATGGGTAAGCAGTTCAGCTTCCCCCTTCCTCCTACATGTATTAGGCTGCATTTAGCAGAACTGGAGTTCCTTTGCCACCTTGCCATCTACCAGAAGGTCCAGGGCTGAAGTATTTGCCCTCTGGTTTCCATCCTGTGTAGGTACAAGGACACCATTACCAGTGAAGTATACAGAGCAGATATTGAAGAGACATTGTAGCTCCCCCCCCCAACTCCCTTCTTACAGCAAGCACATAAGCAGATTTTAAGATATAAATGCCATTCATTTGTTCTCTTGAGAGGCTAGTAAAAGCACGTGTGACCTGTTGAGCAGCTGAGATAGAAAGGTGCGGTACAGCTGGAGGGAAAGAGTGTGAGTGTTCACATCACCTGGCCTGCATTTTATGAGTCTCAACACCCAACATATGCCTAACACATTGAGCTTTGCTGACAGGCTGTCTCCCTTTCAAATGGAAAAATATGACCCCACTCATGAGCACTGCTCTCTGAAATTCCAGCTTCAGAGCAATGAAATCCCTTTTGTTCTCTTCTAGGTCTTTTCTCAAAGGGATATAAAACCTCTGCACTAAAACAGTTTTGGAAAACTTAGTTCTGCTTTCAGAATGCCCTACCTTTTCTCTTATGCCTGACTACTTTCATTAAAGTATCAGACAGGTTGGGAAAGCCACTTGTGCAATCAGAATAGGAGTAAGACTCAACAAAATGGTTTGGTCTGGCCCAAGCTTACAACAGATGCTGTAGCGACACTCATAAATCTGATGTTGTTGGCTGTCCTTTGCTAGAATTATGTGGTTCATACCATCATCCCTTGTCGCTGGAGAGTTCAGAAGCATGCTTTATCATTTTGTAAAACATTAACATAAGCTTATTAAAATGCAAAAGCATCACATTAATATGGGGTAAATCACCTAGTCTGGAGCCTTTAAGGCAGGCTGTGAATTATTCAATACCATGATAGATTTAGCCAGCACAACACAGCAAGCCTCTGATTAGCCCCAGGATAAATTTTGAGAGGTCATTAAGATCAACATATTCCTTTAACTGTACCCTGTGTGTGTGAGTGTATGTGAAAGTGGAAAAAAAGAAAAAAGAAAAAGAAACCGTAAGTCTTAGGAAGGACAATCAAAGAGATCCCTGTCTTACAGGTTGTAATAAAACATGGCTGATACCAGACCCAGCTGAAATAGCCTGGAGGCAAAACCACCTCTTGTGTTGTCCTGCTTACAGCAACAATTAGGAGAATGGAGTTTCCAATAAGAGATGTGAGCATGAATCCCTGATAACTGAGTGTCAGAGGCTATTTGTCAAACACCAGGTAAATAAACAAACCTGGTTCCAGTGGAGCTGCTTCAAACAAGATGGAAAGCAAACAGTTTCAGCAATATCCGATCATCACCAACTCATGCACACAAATCTGTTCACTATTTGTAGAGGAAAAAGAACAAACAAACAAAATATACCTAGGGTATTTGTATGCTCATTTAATTGTGTTTTTTTTTCTTTAATCGCAGATGATATCAAGTAGTGTCTTTCAGTCTCTGGAAATACCACCAGCCAGGGTGAGCATTTGGTCCTGTTAATCTGACCAGGAGATGCATTACAATTAATTTTGGCTGTATATTGCCTGTCCTGTTTGCTTTTAGCACAGAAAGGAGCGCTGTACCCACAAATGTGTTTAATCATGTATAGGACCTTCTTGCTGTTGCATGTGTAATCAACTTCTGCTATTAAGGCTCCTCTGGGAGCTGGTAAATGAGTAGCATATGTAATTTCTTCATTAGCATACCTGTTTACTCCCAACTGTGCTTTGAAGTAAATTGGGGCAGGCTTCCTGTTCGGCAAACTCTGCTCCTAGACTGGATCCATCACAGTAGTAAGTACCAACCTTATGAAACTTAGGTAACCTATAGTTGTTTATATATGTTCTGGCCCCTGTCCATCATCAAAGGAGAATATCTTCAGAGAATACTTTTTCTCTTTTTTTGTACTTTATTCTCATAAAAATTATGCTTTCTGATTTTAGTGTAAACGTGGGGAGAGCTCAAGAGCATGTTCCTAGGGGTTGTGCATCGGAGGTTATCACATGCAGTTCCACTGCAGAGTGTTTAAATTCCCTTTAGGATGGTTATCTGTGCACTACTCAGTTCAATGCACAGAAGTGAGATCCTTACCACAGCTCCTTTCCTGCCCTCCCACAGGTAAAAGTGTACTTGGAGTATATTAGTAAGTCATATATTGACTTTTAAATTGCTAGTGGACTGAATGCATGTAATATCTTTACACAGATTTCCTGAGGCAACTTTAATGTCCATGTATAATGAAAGGTCAGGGTGAATAGAGTGTATATGTTGAAGAAAGCCTGTTCTTTGGCTCTGACCCACAGCTCTGGCACTTCTTTCCAAAAGAATTAGGGAAGACAGTGAACCTGCTAAGCTACCAGGCAAATTTTGACTTACCATTTTGAAATAATTTTCCAGTAAACACCCATTTCCTTATGTTTTCTGCTTCTTACTCTACTCACTTTCAGAGCTCTATAGTGTAGCAGAGCTCTCAACAGAGCTCCTCCTTCAGTGCATTTGCGCTCTTTTTTTATGTTCTTGCTCTAAATTTTCTAGTAGCCACAAAGTTCTCTGTGATACCTTTCCCTGAAAAGGCTTTACCTTCACAGACACTGTTTGCGTCTGTTACAGTGGCAAGAAACCTTTGAGAAGGTAGCCCTGAAAGGTTTTCAGATAGTTTCTAACTGTGCTCCCGAGGCATTGGAACAACACGACTGGCTTTTTATGGCATAAATTACAGAAGTGACATGAAAACAGATAAGTTTATTAAAACAGAGTGAATCACTGATGACATTTAAGTCTAATTAAATCAGGCTACTCAGCTTAATGATTTTGTTCCAGAGGAGGTAACTATTTTGGAATTCATAATGTTTAACACAGATCTTCTGCAATAGGGTATTGTACCTAGGGGTGCCATTATCAGGGTCTGTAATAGCAAATGCTTTCACTTAAAAGGCTGTGACAAGTTAAATCATGGTGAAATTTATCCCAGCCATATCATAATGCTCTCCCAAAATGTTGTCATGGTTGAATAAACAGTTGGGGGTGGGAGGAGGGCAACGGGTATTCACAATGACAAGGTGAGTCTATTTGTAGCCTGGAATAAGATGGGTAAAGCCAAACTGTAGTTGTCATCCTCACCTATGAAAATGCCCTATAGTTTTGTGTTCAAAAATATACAGAAGTGAAACATTTATTTCGGTCTCAGTAACAAAAGTACCACAAATTGAGGGCAAAGCTGCTAGATGCTGTCCCTCCCAGTGATGTACTCCATGCATTTAAAAATATAAACTCCTATTAAATGTTCACCAGTGCCCTGGTTGGCTTTTCTTGCTTCTCTACTGGGCTGCAGCATTTCTGTCTCTATGCAGCCAAGACACACTTGTAATTAATTTTGATTTGCAGTCTGCCTGCAGCTTAATAGTGCAAGGATATTTTGTTGTGTAAACTAGATATTGCTCCTCTGACATAGTTGCTGTTATACAGACAGCCTTCCTGGAAATTAAACCTTAGACTCCTTCCTTCAGCACTAATATGACTGGCTGCTTGTTGCTCAGGCATTTGAATAGAAAATGCTGTTTATTTCTTCAGCAGAGTGTGTTTAACTAACCCTGTTATCACTGATGGCAAGCAATGCTCAAAGGGGCCAGTACATGCCCGTATGCCATATCTGCACCTTCTGGGACTTCCAGAAGTTATATCTCCATCCATGTATTAAACAAATAGATTGCATATAGAGCTTTTTTTCCCCCTGCTACCCTGCAGTCAGGACAAAGTTGCTACTTGGCAATAAGAAAGTTCTTAACCCAGATCCTCTGGGGGAAGTTGTTTAGTTTGGAGTTTTGTTTTCTAATTTTTTTGGGTGGGTTTTGCTGATGGCACTAAACATAGCAGAAAGCAGAACTATAGATCTCAGCATTTGAAATGGTTTTTGATTGCTGCACAGAGCAAGAATTATATCTGTAAGGTGCCTACCATCAAAGGGCACCCTTTGCAAGTCTTTCACTTGCTGAAGTGCTTCCTTGAGTCCTCTTGGCAAAGGTATAGCAGGGTGGTATGAAAGCTCTGAAATGCTCTCTGGCAAGGCTCTTTTCTAACCACAGATTTCTGTGTAGGGTGACTGGGCATGTTTAGGTTTCTCAGTTCAAGTATTTAAAATCTGTCATAATGAATGCAGAGAGTTACAATTACATGGACAAAACACGCATATGTTTTTGCATGCCCTTTTATCTGCAAGGCTATCATCTTTCCTATTTTGATTTGAACAGTATCGGTGTCTCAAATCGCTCCTTGTTACTATCGCTGTGTTACAAGAAGCAATTGGCACTGTACTCCAAAACATGAAGTGATGCACTCAGCACGTTACAAATACTAGGTTCTTACTTAGGCAATAGCGACCTATGTACAAAACCAAAAACAAGATAAAAACCCCAAATGAAAATCTGCAAAACAGAGAAAACAATCCCATGTGCAGATAAATAATTACTAAAACCCAGATCCATTTCACTACATCCGCAATATGTGAATACAGCTATCACTTTTTTTGCTTCGTGGAGAGTTGTCATCTGTTGTGTCCTTGCTTCACTGTAAAATTGCACTGGATCTGCCAAATCATACATGCAATATTAAACACCACAGGCAATGGATTCAGGCACAGCAAATGTTATGTAAACTGTTAGGATAATTCTACGTCCTAATTTATGTCACTGAACAAATCATCTGTGTTCCTCCAGCTAACTTTACCACTCACATGGTTCGTTTATTGTTTCAGTCAGGAACCAATGAACTATAATTCTTTTCTAAAGCCAGCAGGGCATTCCTAAATGGACCTCACTCAGAAGAATGGATATTTATTTAATTGCAGTGCATATCATTTACATATTCTATTGCCTGTAAATGCAGCTCCATTGCTAGACTTTGTCCCACACAGAGAAACATACAGTGAAGGGTCATCTTCTAGCTTGATCGTCTAGGAGAGAGGCATAACCTTGAGTGGTTAATATAGAAGTAGCCAAACTTGTTTACACAGAGAGCTATACTGGCCAACTGCCAGGAATTCAAGCACGACACTTGATTTATATAGATATTTGCAGTTTTATAATCTAGAATAAATTTTGCTGATGTTAGCAACTTTACTGCAAGTGGAAATACAAGTATTAACACCACTGCAATAAAAAGCTGCAGATATTTGTTTTGCCTTCCTTGTTGTAGATACAGCAGCTGTTTGTTGTTTCTTTGGGAATGCTGAACTTCACATTTCCTTTCACATCTAGAAAGCTGGGTGTCTGGGACACTAGTTGGCTGCATGGCTCTAAAGGGCATAGGATGGCATCAGATACCTACTGAGATCTGGCTTCTTCCTTTCATTTTCATGCAAGTCCTAGTAAGTGTTCTCATTATCTAAAAAGACAATGGAAAGAAAGAAGTCACAGCACTCTTCAAGATTCACGATGCTGCAGAGGCTAGACTGGTTGTCATGTTCAGACAATCATATGATAATACAGGAGGTCTCTAGTCCAATCTCCTGCTCAAGACAGGACCAGCTATGGGATCAGACAAGGTTGTTCAGGGCTTTAACCAGTTGAGTGTTAGAAATCTCCAAGGCTGGAGACCACACAGCCTTTGTGAGCAATGTGTTCCCCTGCTTGACTATCCTCATGAGGGAAAAAGCTTTTCCTTATAGCCGGTCTGAACCTCTCTTGTTTCAATTTATGCCCATTGCCTCTTGTCCTCCCACCGTGCACCGCTGTGAAGAGCCTGGCTTCATCTTCTTGGTAACCCCCTTGTAGGTACTGGCAGGCTGCTGTTACGTTCCCCCTGAAGTCATACCTTCACCAGGCTGAACAAGACCTGATCTCTCAGCCTCTCCTCATAGGGCAAGAGTTCCAGCCCCCAACCATCTTAGTGGCTCTCCACTGAACTTGCTCCAGGTTATCAATGTCTTTCCCGTATTGAGGGGTCTAAAACTGGACACAGTATCTAGGTGTCATCTAATGAGTACTGAGTAGTGGGCATGTCAATCTACTGAGCACATCAATCTACTGGATGTACAGTACAGCCCAGGATGCTGTTGGCCTTCCTTGCTGCCAAGCATGCAGCTGGGTCATGTTCAGCTCACTGCTCATCACAGCCCCCAGGTTCTTCTCAGCAGAGCTGCTTCCCAGCCAGTCAGTTCCTGCTCTGCCTTGATGCTGGGTATCTTCTTTCCCAGGGGAAGGACTTTGGATTTGTACCTCTTGAATTTCATAAGGTTGTTGTTAGCCCATTCATTCCTCCAGTCTGTGTAGGCCCCGGTGAATGGCAGGTCTGCCCTTAAGCAGGGCTCTCCTGCTTAAGGGAGGACTGTCCCCCTCCCCTACTAAGTTTGGTGTTATCTGCAAACTTGCCAGTGTGCCCTCCATCACCTCCTCTAGGTCGTTTATAAAGATGTCAAACACAATAGGTCCCAGGATTGACACCCGGAGTACTGCACTAGCCACCAGCCTCTGGGTAGTGTACATCCCATTAATCACTATCCTGTGAGCCTAATCATCCAACCAGTTATTTACCCATCTTGTTGTTCATCCGTCCAGACCATAACATCCTAACTTGGATGCAAGAATACTGTAGGACACAGTGTCAAAAGCCTTGCTAAAGTTGAGGTAAATGTCAGCCATTGCTCTCCTGTTTGTCCACAGATCCAGTCATTGCAGCACAGGAGGCAACCAGATTGGTCAGACATGTCTTACTCTTGTTCAATCCAGACTGTTCCTAATCACTTTCTTCTCCCCAGTGTACCCTGAAATGTGTTTCAAGAGGACTTGTTTCATGATTTTCCCAGGGAGCAAAGTGAGCTTGACTGGCTGGTTGTTCTCTGGATTCTTCTTTTGGCCTTTTCTGAAGAGAGGTGCATCATTTGCCTTTCTCCAGCCATCTGGGCTCTCCCCTGATTTCCATGATCTTTCAAAGATGATTGAGAGTGGCCCTGCCAGGATTTTAGACATTTTCCTGACCACCCATGGATGTAGCCTGCCAGGTACTATGGTCTTTTATGGGTCAAGTTCTCTCAAATAATCCTCATCTTCTGCTGGTAGTTCTTATCCTTGAACCCTTTTTTTCTAAACAAAGAAGCCTGGGAAATCTTGTTTGTGAGGACTGAGGCAAAGAAGACATTGAGTAATTCTGCCATATCTGTGCCTGCTGTCACACACCCCATGTAAAAATGGTGCCACAGTTTCCCTGTTTGTCTTTTTAGTACTAAGGGCCCTTGTTGCCCTTAATACCTCTTACAGGTGTCAACTTTAGGTAAGCTTTGGCTTTCCTAGTGTTGTCCCTGCATGCCCAGAAAATATTTCTATATTCATTCTTTATAGCCTGTCCCTGCTTCCACCTCCTGTATACTGGCTTTTCACAAGTTCCCTGCTTAGCCAAGAGAGTCTCCTGAAGCATCTACTTGTCTTCCTGAGTATCAGGGTGGATCATTCTTGCACTTGGAGGATGCTGTCCTTGAAGACCTGCCAGCTTCCCAGAGATCCTTGGCCCTTCAGAGCTGCCTCCTATGGGAACCTACTTACAGTCCCCTGAATAAACTGAAGTCTGCTCACCTGAGGTCCACCTGAGTACTGTACTACTGTCCTTCCTCACACCTGTCAGGATCTTGAACTTGACTATTCCATGGCCACTACTGCCAAAGCTACTATTGATTACCATATCTCCAGCTAGTTCTTCCTTGTTAGTGACTAGCAGATCCAGCTTTGTGTCACCTTTGGTTGGCCCATGCAGTACTGGTTGCCTTTGGTTCCACAGACTTACTCTGTTGGGAGACTGCATCTAATTGTTTTGTTGCTTGCAGTCAACTTACAGGCAAGTGTCTGAAGCGCTCAAATTTACTCAAATTGATTGTTTTCTTTCTTTCTTTGTTTTCAAAAAGATTTTTCTGTGTTATAGAGCTCTGATGCAATTTTGCTGTAGTTGGGTAGACGTTTAGCAGCCAGATCAGTACAGCTGTGTCCTAACAAATCTTGCCAGACCTAAACGAGATCTGTAATCAGCTGTACACAGCAGTCTCCTCTATTTGGATGCCTTACTGACCACCTTAATCCCAGGACACAGATGCAGCCCCTACACTGCCAAGAGCTATCCCTGTTACAGACTACGCTGGTTAGATTCCAAGGGCAGAAATTGAAGGCTTGGAGGAAGTATATGAAGTTTTTCTGACTTTGAAAATGGCAGTATGATTATCATCCAGACAGAACCAGAACATTCTCTGCATCTGACTCTGAGCACCATCCTTTTTCAAAGATGCCATGCTTTGCTATTGCTTGCAGTGCCCTCTGTGGAGAAGAAAAAACCTCTGAACACATCGCTGAACACAAACATTTCTACATGAGTAGAAAGTCCTCATACAAGGTCTTGCCATTATCTGTAGAAGAAGGTGGACCTCTTAAACATAGGCAAAGATTCAGTCACCAAAGGTGGACCTCTTAAACATAGGCAAAGATTTTTAGAACTTTCTACAGTCACCAGCAGACTTCCCTGATTTTCCAATAGCTCATGCACCTTTACCTACAAGAAGTTAGATGTGACATTTTAATTCTCTTTGAATGGAAAAAGCAGAAATAAGTTACTGCAGAGTGTCACTGGCACACTGGTTTGTACTGCATGACAAAGATATGATAGATGTATTGTCTTTCATACAAAATCAAAAGAAGGATTTTATTTTTACTTCTAAGTGAATAGATGATAACAAAAGGTGATACTGTTTGAAGTTATACTTGGAGCAACTTACGTGAACTACATTAATTATGACCCCCTTCTCCCTTTTAATGTTGATATATCTACTTGATCTTGACTCCTACATTTTCGTATTTCCTTTAAATATTCCTTAACAGCCTTCAGGTCAAAAGTGCAGATTCAGAGAGCCCTCCATGATTAGAGGATATGTAATTGTTTTGTACAATCCAGTGTTGTTAGGCATTTGGGGAAATTCCTCTTGTTTGTTAAGAGTGTACAGTGAATTGCATGTTCCTCAGCAAAGGTTATACACCTGTATTTGCTGTCCCCCATTGCTGTGTATTTTAAGAAGAAAGAGCAATAAGTTTATGTTCAAAGACTGACATAAATTTGGAGTATAAAGTGAGAATGCTATCTATCTGTGGAAATAAAAAGGAAAATTTCATGGTGTAATAAGAAGATCTAACTCTTAATCTTGAAATACATATTAATTTTTTTAAGCAACTTACCAGTATTTGTTTTTCCTTCTCTTACTGCTCTGAGGAAAAGTAGCATATATCCTTTTCTGATAATCAGAGAAACAAGGATACAGTAGTTCTGCCCACAGACAAAAAGAGTGTATTTCTCTTGTGTTTTGAAGGCAGGTGCAAGCTCACTTTGCTCAAACTGCAAGGCCCCTAGAAGTTGTATAGATTTAATAGTGTGACACTGAGCTCAGGGTATGTCCTGCTGAGAAACTAATGGCTTCTGCTTGGCTTGGAGCAAGAAGAGTGAGCTCCTGCTTGCTTGCAGAATACCATGTAGAAATTAACAGTCAAATGAAAACTCCAGGTTTTATTATGGTTCTCAGACTACTAATACACTTTTGTTTTTCCCTTCACAGAAGTTCTGTATTGCAGGTTGGTTGCCCATGCTGCCATTGAAGAACAAGAGTGAAAAGCCATACGAGGGAAGAGTTAGGCATCTATAGGTGAAGTTCCATTGCACTCTTGCATTAGACAGCAAACATATACTGCTGTATATACATAAACGGTAGGACCTACATAAGTGGTATGTCCAGTCCTGCATCTGCAAGGGTGTTCACATATCAGCCAATGTTAAAAACCCATCCTTTGAGACAGACAGCCAACTCAAGTCTCTGAAGATAGCAGGTACAAATTAAGGACTGCAGCAAGTGATGAATATTGAATATCTTTGGCAGAGTGTTACCACAGGGAACCAACAGGGAAGGTTACTGTAAGTGGAGAAGAGTAACTTGTAGAGTTGATCTGAAATGTATCTTTTGATGTGAAACAATATATCTGCAAACTTTCTCCCTCTGCCCTTCTTATTAAGCAAACTAATAGTTTGAAAATAAAGGAGGTACTAGAACACTAATTAGTATGGTGTCGTGGTTTAACCCCAGTCGGCAACTAAGCACCACCCAGCCGCTCGCTCACCCTACCCCCCTACCCTGGTGGGATGGGAGAGAGAATTGGAGGAGCAAAAGTAAGAAAACTCGTGGGTTGAGATAAGAACATTTTAAGACTTGAAATGTAGTAGTAGTAGTAGTAATAATAATAAATTGTAACGAAAAGTAAAACAGCAAGAGAGAGAGAGAACAAAACCCAGGAAAAAAAACAAGTGATGCAACTGCTCACCACCCACCCACCGACGCCCAGCCAGCCGCCAAGCAGCGATCGCTGCCCCCTGGCCAACTCCCCCCAGCTTATATACTGAGCATGACGTCATATGGTATGGAATATCCCTTTGGCCAGTTTGGGTCAGCTGTCCTGGCTGTGCCCCCTCCCAGCTTCTCACTGGCAGGGCATAAGAGGCTGAAAAGTCCTTGCTTAGTATAAACACTGCTTAGTAACAACTAAAACATTGGTGTGTTATCAACATTATTCTCATGCTAAATCCAAAACACAGCACTGTACCAGCTACTAGGAAGAAAATTAACTCTATCCCAGCTGAAACCAGGACATATGGTTAAGGTAACCTTCCTCTTTTCTGAAAGCAAATCCCAGTGTCCTGTTTCAGTTGTTCTGTGTCAAAACCAACCTTGGAGTTACTGAAGTGAGAGAATTCTATAAAGAACTAGGATAAATGCTGATAAAACTAGCACTTTTGGAAAGAAAAAGGAGTAATTACCCATTACTTTGGGCACTAAAGTGTAAATCCTTTCTTTATCCTCCACTGTGATAGTCTCATTATTAAAAATTGAGTCACTTGACTGTGTAAATACAGCATGTGGTCTATTTCTAGAATGGAGAGACCTCAGATATACATCTCATCCTTAGCATCTTATATACAGATTAATCTATCTATCTTTGAACAAACACTTTCTAAATAGCATGGAATGCCCTTGGGGGTGGAAGGGAAAGAAGGAAAATCTTCATAAAACTCAAGAAAAGGGGAAGCTATTGCATGCTTAATTATCTTTCTGTAATATTTCTCTAGGTCAACCACAAGATCTGGGGAGAGAAGGAACTGAAAACTACTATGTATTTGGACATTCCTTTTTAATTTACAGATTCCTTAAAATTTCTCACTGGAGATACAAATCCCGTGCAGCAAATCTGAACCTACTGATTCTAGACTTGCTTTGGCAGACTCAGAAGTCTCCTCAGGGGTCCAGAAACCACACGTTGAAGTAGCTGAGATACTATAATTAGTGGATCCCACTTGCTGATTTCAGCCAAGGTGGCATCTGCTAAGTACTGCCCTGTAGATTACTTCAAGGAAGCATTTTGCATGATCAAATAAGGAATGAATGTAAACAACTGCATGAACTTGTCTTTTGGTTGCATCTAATACTGATACTTCATTACTTTGAGCAAGTGCTGACTCTTGTCAAAGTCTGCAAAATGGAAAGGAATAGATTAATCATGCAGCCTCTCAGCTAGGATACCAGAATACACTGTATTTATCCTTATCTCTGGGTGAATACAGCTTTGTAGACTGCCTTCATTTTCACTACCTTTCCTTTTTTTTTAAATTCGGAATTGCGTCATTGTGGCATCTTCTTCCTTACCAAGAACCCTGGGCATTTTTGAACATCAGAGACGTCCACCTTGCTGAGAAACTGAACTGAACATAGATGCCTAATTGTCCCTTATCCGACTGTTCATTGTCAAAATTTTCAGCGGTCACCAGCCTTTGCTCTTTTAGTGCTCCTTGTGCCTTTCCCCTTTCCTTGTCCATTCTACTCTACCCTCTAAGTTATCGGTATGTCTATAGCGTCCCTGCAGCTCCAGGTCTTCTTACCACCTGCTCCTTCTTTTGCTTTCACAGGTGGCCAAGTTAATTCTTTAAGTTCTACTTTGTAATTCTCTCCTTTGTACTTGAGTGACGTACACCCAACCACAGCTCACATCTTGCTTCTGCTTCTTCCACCACTGAATGTCTTGAAAGGGCATTTCAGGAACCAGAGAGACTGTACTGAATTACTTCCAGGAGTCTTTTCAAATCTTTCTTAAGCAGAAGTCCCACTGCTCCCATCAAGTCCCTCTTTGAGACTTTCATTTCTTTCCCTAAGCCTTCTTGTTGCCATTCTTTCTCCAAATGTCACAAGTATTACTGGCTTCAAGAAGAAGATGGAAAGGCTCTGTCACAAGCTTTTTCCAACAATTTACCTTCTTTTCTCCTAATAGCTTTTGTTCCTGGTCTTTTCCTGATCTGTTTCCTTCCCCAGTGATGCATGCCAGCATGACTGAACTACTTCCTTCCCCTCCTTCATTTATCTGGTGGCTCCTTCTATTCAAGTCCTAAATGCATTTTAATGTTCCATGTCCTTAAATACATGAATAATAACATAATAATCCTGCTCTCTTTCATACTGAGTATCGTTAGATGATAACCTCTAACCTTCCCCCACCTTCTACATATCTTCATTGTTCCCTACTGGTCTGTCAGAAATGCAGCTCCTACAACCACCTTCTCCTGCCTGACAATCAAGTCATGTTTTTGTGTCACTGAATCTTCCCACTCGCTCTTCCGTGATCAAACGCTTCATCCCAACACTTCACCAAGCCAAATCTCTAACTTTGGTTCCTTTTGTATAGTCATCACTGCCAACACCAGCGTTCCTTTCACTTACTCCCCCTCATGTTTGCTTGCTGCTACTTTATCTCCCAGCCTGTGGGTATCTCCTTTTTCTCATTCAAATTGTTCCTCAAAGCGCATTTCATCAGAGCCATTGTCACTAGCCTGCCCTCATCATTCTATTATTATTTACAGGCCCTTTAATGACAGGAGAAAAAATAGAAAGCAAAAAGGAAACGGACAGGAACATTGTAAGTTGTCACTATCTCTGCATCTTCAAAACAGTCTTTTGACATCCATTATTCTTCAGGATAAAGTAGGACAGCGTTTGCCTTGTAGAGCACCACAAACACTACTGGTGCCTAACAAATACTGGTAGCAACTGTAACAGGTCCTTTCTTCTATGCAGTCACTAGGAATTGTCTATGTATAGGGGCTGTATAATCAGGCTGCTGTCTCAGGGGCCTGTCAGTCTCTCCATCTCCCTTGTGAGCAGCAGAGAATGACTATGTATTAATAATGAGCTATGAGATGCTTGAGATTTTCATCTCCTCACTAACGAGAAAAAGCCAAAGGAAACGCATGTAAGAGATCCTTGTCTGAAGTGAAGACAAGATGCCCTTTTCACGCAGTTCTAAAACACTCTTTAGACTCTTTGCTTGTATTGTATAAGAAGCTGTGGTGGCATACACAGTCAATGTGGACAAGAAACAAAGGGGTCACTTAATGGGGGACATGAATACTATTTCCTGAGGTACTCATACTGCCAGTGGGAACCACAGTTATCCACTTGCTGGCTGAAGAAGTGGCATTCTGCTACTGACTTCAGCAGAAGGGCAGTTTGGTCTGCACTTCCCATTTCAAAAGTTGGTCAAGAAATATATTAAGCCCTTTGAAAAATGTGGCTCCAGTGCTGAACAAATAGGTTACAGAGAGTGGCTGAAGAATTAAGTCACTTTCATAAATGTGTTTTCAGCTGTAAGAGAGACCAGATCATTCAGTGGTTTTCCTCTTTCAGCATAAACTGGGGATTTTGTGAATGACAAGGTCCTTGTTTTGCATCTTAATTCCATGGCAGGGAAATGTATGCCTGCATTTCAACTCAATGTGGATTTTTATTGGCTTACAAATAGCTTCCTGCACCAGATTGTAGTATATAACAGCAGCAGCTCCCTGGTGCAGTTCAGTATAGTACACAACCTGTTACAGTGTAATATGGACACAACAGGATCAAATGAACTTTCAGCAAGGAGGGAACAATTACAAAGGGTCTCTGCAGGTCCGTTTGTGGTACACTAAAATCTTTGTTCTTTACTAAGAATACTATTAAATTACAAAACTACCTCTATCTCAGATAAGGATTTCTCTCTTGTGGTTTTTTTTTTGGGGGGGGGGAGTGGGGGAGTGGTTGGTTGGGTTTTTTTTTCCCTGAGGACTGCTACCAGCTATTCACACATTTTAGCTTATAAAGAAAGCCTGTTTCTCCACAGTCAGTCTGAATTCTCTTTTCCTAAAGATTTAAAACAGAGCAGTGCCAGAAACATTAGAAGGCTTCTTTCTGTGAAACTGCACTCTTTTTTGAACAAAACAGACTTCTGAACAGATTAGGAGTGCATTTATTGGGGATATAAAAGCAGAGAATACCTAGTCTGAAAGTGTCTTCACCACATTGCTGTTGTGGTCATTTGTACCAAAGGAAAATACTCAGTTTTAGCAGCACTTCTGTACCCATTCAATACAGATCTAAACAGCCATACAAGGTGTGGGGAAGCTCTTAGGATTCAGCTTATTGATGCTGTCTGCAGTTCATCTTGGCAGAGTTCCCGGCAGAGGTTTTATATCTGAAGGTCATCACTGCTAGCTTTGATCATATATACAATATCTCATTCCAAAGAGAGGGACAAAACCAAATTTGTATATAAATTCTAATGGTAAAACTACTCCACTATCAAAAGGAGAAAATACTTCTTTTGCAATGATTTTTTACTTTGTAAAGCAAATAAACTCTTACTTAGGTCTGCAAGTGAGTTTTCTAGTCTGTCGCACATGAAACCTCTTGAGACATTGAACATGTGCTTTTGCCAGTAGGTATTAACATGCTTTGCTTCCCACACTTGGGCAGCTATTTCCATTAGATCCTAATACTTTAGGCAAGAGAGAGAAAGTAAGAGAGACACTGAGGGAGAGCAAATTCCTCTTGAATAACACAGCTTGTTTACAAACCTTCCACAGCCTGAACTAAGCCAACGGGAGGTCTTTAAATTAGCTATTGGAAAAGCGTTTCAGGATG